ACTTTACTCATACTCATGTAAACGATAAAGGGATTGTGATCCTTACTATTCAACTTCTCGGGGTAATAATTGGGATTGGTGAGGAATATGCAGTCGGCACCAATAACTCTCGGTCGTAGCCTGTAGTTATAACCAGAGTCTCCTGGAGGGAGAGCGAGAGTTTGTGTATAGATTTATACGGGGGTGACTCCCCCACACCTGAGTTGTTCACTACAGTTAGACTCGGTCAGTCTAGGGTGACAAAATTTTGAGTAAAACCGACGTTTGTAAAAATGCCAAGACAGGCGAAATAGTCATTATCATGTATGGTTATAACGTCTGACATGGAGATCCATTACCATTTCACTATTAATTGGGAAATTGACTTCATACATATGGTCGTACTAGGAGATTTATACGAATTCACAAAACTATCACACTGTTTTATATCGAAAATATCGGATTTTCTGTGACTCAACATCATTTCTTTATCATACTTCAGCTATTATATGAGAAATACTAATGTTAATAAGCCATATATACAAGTTCTGAAATTACACATATCTATACAGTATTGGATCATCACATCGTGTTGCAAACAAATTTTACTTACAATATCGTATTTTCTGGGTTTTATCATCAACATGAAACGTTTTATATCAAACATGCTTATGAACTCACTAACATTTCATATGTTGACCATTTTTAAAATAACTTGTATTCTCATGTAATCGATAAGCATAAGATGATTATCATGTGTGATTAGGACTTCATGTTTTGTAACTTTCAAACAATATACTTTTGATTATGTAATATTTGGTCAATGTACTTGATGTGAACTATGTAATTTGTACTATGTAATGTTGGTGATGTATGTGTTTGTTTCATGTATATTCATTGTTATGGTATTCAATTTTTAGTTACGTAAGCCCTCAGACGTTTCCGCCGTCTGGTTCGAGGGTGTGACATATTATTGGATCACTACGGTGTGGGAATTTTCCTGGCCCAAGCCCATGATTCTTTTAGTGTTTGCTTTATATTTAAACATCTCTAAATCATTTTTAGGGCTCCTTATCAGCCTCCATCTCCCTCAAGTTTCAAAAAACCTAACCTTAATTCCTACTTGAGAGTTGTGAGTCCATTTTGGTGACCTTGGTTGCTTAAGAAGAAAGAAAAGGCATTAGAAGTGATTGTGATGATTCTTGGCTGAAGTGAATATCTCTTTTGGGCATCTCTGGAACTTTATAAGTTTCCAAGTTCCTTGCTTTATGGATTAGAGTGGTTAGATATTGAATATTGTCCCATGTCCTTCATGTTTGAGTAAGTGTGGAAGGAAGTAACTCATAAAGTTGGCAACTTTATCACTCTCCTAAGTCCTAAGAGCATCATATGTTGTGGAGCTAGTCTTTGTTGGAAGTTCTCGTCATTTGCTTGAGTTTTTGTCTTTATAACTCATTTTGACCTAAAATGGATTCTAGACATTTATTGGACATACATGTCTACAAAATTTCTATCTTTATGATGGATCTGGTATTAGAAAACCCTCTTGAAGTGGTTGGATTAAGGAATTTTCAGACTAAGGGCTTAATAATTAAGACATTGTGGTATTTGACTTTCTTTGGACTTAGGGTTGGAGATCTTGATCTCCTTGGATGTCTTAATGTATAAATTTAGAAATTTTATCCATTTAGACCATAGAATGGACCAGATCTGAGCTTTGAAGCTCTTGGAATCGAGGAAAAGCGACTTAATCCATTAATCTGCTGGAAACCCAGTGCCCATGGTGTGGCCATAGATCGTCGTGGCATGGCGACTGGGAATTTCCTGTATTTTTAGTTATATAAGGGCCATAACGTGGTGGTTGGCTAAAGTTAACATTGGTCATTGACTTTGACCGTTGACTTTTGGCATGAGTTGACTTTTGGTCAAATTTCTAATTTACCAGGTAGATCGAGGGTATGCCTTGTGTGGATTGATAGGAGGTGTTTAACACCCATTTTTGGTGGTGAGAAATGTTAGCTGTGGTCAACGCGACTTTGAGTTGGGTTTTAGTCGGCTTGTAATTCAGGTGAGTTTTCCTCACTATACTCATAGGTTGACGACACCAACATCGGCCCACTATGTTATGTGTCCTGGTATATGGGATGTTACTATGTTGTAGTGATATGTAGATCTGTATGATTATATGTGTTGTTATATGATCTATTTGTTGCATATGTCGACATAGTGCGATTTTGGGTTGAGGCTTTACTGGTATGTGTGTAAGCCAACAAACCAAGGCATTCTTGTCTTATGACCGATTGGGCTAGGGTATTCCAGTCTGATAACTGATTAGACTCGTTGCAGATTGATATTCTAGTCTGATGAATAATTAGGCTGAGGCATTCCAGTATGATGACTGATTGGGCTAGGGTTAATCCAACCCGATGGTTGTGGACCCGAGGGTAAGCCAACCCGATGACTGTGGACCTATCATGCATGATTGTATATGTTATATTATGTAGGGTATTTTGAGAGAACCCATTAAGCTTTGACTTACAATTTGATTGTTGTCGTTTTAGGTATTTTAGAGATCAAGACAAGACAAAGGCTTGATCGTGTACATCATCCATGTGTTTTACGATTTTGGGATGCTCTGATTCATGATAACGACCTTTGAGAACTTGTTTTGTAAAACTTATAGATTTTTGAATGGTCTTAAAAATGAAAATATTGCCCCGATTTTGGGTTATTACACTAATTCCCTTAAATACACCTTAAGGGTCTAAGACTAAAGTACATAGATTTATATTTCTAAAACAATGGTATTATATGAACAACTTTAGTAAGTTGGATGGTCGAATATTAACAAAAAAAATTGTCTAGACGGTTTTAAAAAAAACTACTACCTGAAATTGTTGATTTTTGGTTGTGGTGAATAACTTTTTTTAGTATTCTAAATTTTTATTTAATGGTCATAATTTGTAGTGGCGAATTTAGAACCTAAAACCACGTGGTTCCTTATTTAAATAACCCTGAAACATATAACAAACTAAAATATACTAGTAGCGGGTCGGGTCAAAATATCATTATTTTTAGAATTGTATCCGACGAGGGCTTATATCTTTAAATATATTGATAATGTTATTTTAATCGAAACTTTCGAATACATCATTTTAACATGATATAATTTCGTAGTTGGTCGTTCTATTGAATCAACGTGCAATTCGTACACAGAAAAGCCAAAAGTGTTGGCAACGATTCAGTTGTGGGCTTTTGTTTATTATATTAATTTTCTTTAATTTTAATTTTAATGTATTTGACTAATTTTTGTTGGATAAATAATAAGTTGGTTTAGGCATTAAGCTATTTTTGTTTTTGTAAAAAATTATTAGGTAATTCCTTCAAAAAATTTTAAGTAGTTCCCAAAATTTTTTGCAATATAATTAAGTTTGCAATTAAGATAATTAAGTGGGTCTTAGGACCCACCTTGATATACTATAGCTACACCTTTGATAATTTGTTATTATAGTTTGAAATGTTTTTAATGAAATGAGCATCCGTTTAGTTTATATATTTTTAGAGTAAGGAATTAAATCATACGTAAATTTGAAATACAAAAACATGTTATATGACACATGTATTTCAGTAACAATTACCTTTGAAAAGATTATCATTTTCTTTTAATAATAACTAATACTAAAATCCAATAAATAAAATCCAGCATGATTGAATGACAGTAAGCCTATCCAACCTTTTGCATGTGAAATAATTCTTTGCAAATATTTATTCCACCACATAAGGAAATAATTTAATTTAATATATTAATTGAAAAAGATTACAAAACAATAATAAAACTGATTGTCGTTGTCCAAACATTTACAAATTGCAATGATTATTAATTAATTATTAGTTTATTACTCTCCACATATTTAAATGTCAATATTTTAGCTAGGTTTAATTTTACAAAAATAACCATAGCGATGTTTCTAGTTAACACATTGATCATATTGTGTATATACTCTATATTTTATATCACATAATATTAATCATTTGGTAACGGTGATCATTGCAAATTACGAAAGACCAAAATATGGGCCCCAAGTATTTAAGGTGTCTTATTATTATTATCTTTTCAAATATTTGACTAATTATCACTTTTTTCTTGGCAAATAGAGGGCACAATACTTCAATTCAATATTCTCCAACAAAAATGGCACCCAACCATAAAGAAAGAACCAAGAACCTATAACAAATTTAAAACAAACATATCATACCACTCGAATAATGGGTTTCTTGTCATACCCAACTTAACATATTCCAAACAACACATGATTTGTCTCTTCAAAAATACCCAACGCAATTTTCAAACCGTTTAAAAAACCTTAATCATGTTTTATCTGTTCAAAAAGTTAAGTTCTTTGGGTTTTTTTTGAACAAACAAAACATGATTAAGATTTTTTAAACGGTTTGAAAACTTCAGTGGTCTTATAAATCATTTTCCCAATATGGTAATAAACCACGTCATTTGTTTCTCTTCTTTAACTTCCATAAAATTGAACAAAAATGTAACTTCGTTGGACTTTTTTAAACAAAATGTCAAGTTTGATGGATTTTATCGAACAGACAAAACATAATTGAGGTTTTGTGTTTAGGGAGAAAGAATGACAACTACTTAAATGAGAAGTTCCATAATCATGTTAATGTAAACTTGTGGTTTTCAGAATCAATTCATTGGTCGAGTGTTTTTATATTAAGGAGTGTCATTTGGATCGGGTAAACCATGGACTCAAAATACTTTTAAGATTGTATGCAAGTGGGACTAGTTAAACATTGACCAAGAAAGAAATCAAGAATACAAGAGGTGGAAAAAACAATATTCAATTGATCAAAAAAATTTTAAAACACATTGTAAATGTCAATCTCAAAACTCATACAATTAAGTAACAACACCACCTAGACATTCTTCACCCGGTTATATCTAATTCCTAAATTCCAAAATATACTCAAATCAGTTTGTTACATACCCCCCCCCCCCCCCCCAAAAAAAAAAAAAAAAAAAAAACAAATCTTTATATACTAAAATTTGGTTCTCTTCTAAAATATCGACAAAAACACTCCTACTCCAAGATATGACAACCCTTGACAAAATCATTGGAGTAGTTAACGTATTTAGACCAAAAAGGGCGAAGATGTTCGAATCCTATCTCTAACCATGGTTTAGATTGACCATTGTAGTGGATCACAGCCGCTTTTTTCACATTTTCAATGTTAGTCTTGTTTTGGTAGCCTAACCCCAACATATGCCATGATTGGTCAATCCCATGAACATGACCTCTAAACGCAATTAAAGCCGGCGGAAGTGTCCCAAGTCTCCACAATGTCAAATTCGACTTCAAATTCTAATTTAAAAAAAATAAAATATTGTAATAATTAATATTGAGTTATATTATTATTATTATTATTATTATTATATGAATATGAATAATTTACCTGTTTTAACCAAGTGTGGTACGTTTTTTTAATGTTAGTGGTTCTCCATGTTTTTAAGTCAAAAATATTCATCCCATAAGCCCATGCGCATTCTTGAGGGTCTAAGTGTTTTGAGATTAATGGGTGAGAAAAGTTGAAGTAGTTTTTAAAGCGTTTAGACATGACCCATGTGTCTTCACCTTTACATGTTTCAACTGCTCCGTTGACTTTTCCACCAAGGTCAACATCCCAAAGTGGAGATAAGTCACGTTGTATCACAATATCGTCGTCTAAAAACACCACTTTTTCAAGGTTTGGGAACAGCTGAGGAAAATTAAGTGTAACGAAAAAAAAAATATGTAAGAAATTTCAACTTACTTTCGTTACTTCATATTAATTATTACTACAATATGGTTAATGTATTATAGGATAGTTGAGATTTGAAAGGAATATAAGAAACAACACTTGCAATATTTGATATTTCAAAAAACTTTTTATTAAGGGAAAAAAGTATTTCTTCATGAAATTGACTTTGTATTTTTTTCATTTTTTCCGATTTGTCCCTTTTAGCTGTTTTTCTCGCAAAAACTTGTCAAATTTGAGGATTTTTTTTGGAGAAAAATAAAATAAAAAGTTAATGGTTTTTTTTCGGAAGGGTTAATCTCATAAAAGACCTTATACTTTGTTTTTTTTCCTCTACTAAACCTTATCTTTATTGTTTATACTTTTTCATTTTTTCTGAAAAAACCCTCAACTTTGTCTTTTTTCCGAAAAAAAACCCTCAACCTTCGTAATGTTTCCAAATAAATCCTCAACTTTTTTAGTTTTTCCTAAAAAGACCCTCATATTTTACAAGTATTTTCAGGAAAAAACGACTAAAAGAGCCAGATAAAAAAAATGAAAAAAAAATGCAAGGTCCTTTTCCAAATAAAAAAATCAGGTTTAATCTGGAAAAAAAAAATACAAAATACAAGGTTTTTAATGAGATTAACCAAAAAATAAAATAAAAAGTTAATGGTTTTTTCAGAAACAATTAAAAGGCCGAGGCTTTTTGAGATAAAATTTAAAAACTTGAAGGTTTTTTCTTAAAAAAGAAATCTCAAGGTCTTTTTCAGGAAAAAAAATAAATTTATATTTTAACCAAATAAACATAAATTGTTGTGATTACCTCTGGTAAATAAATGCGAAGATGATTCAACACCGAAATATACTTCGGGCTTCTCGCCTGCAACTTGGACGCAAATACCCTTGGTGAAATCCCGAAACTACCCCTAAACACCTCCCTTGAAACATAATTCCCATTATAATAATAATCCCTAACCCCATCAAGATCCTCCAGAGCTTGAACAACAGGAACATTGTCTCTGGTCAAAAAGTCAAACTGATGAACACCCTTCACTTCAACAATGGCAGGAGATGGAGAATTCAAAGCAAACCACGAATGCATTCCTGCATATGTTTTCTTATCAGTGATGACATGGAACACCATTTTTTCAGGCGAAGCAGATGACTGGATGGCAGAGTTAACCACCACTGATGCCGCCAGGATGTTGTCGGTTGAGAGGATGAAGTGGTGGTGGGAGGCGGAGGAGAGGAGCGGCAGGAGGTCCGGTGAGGGTAACTGCCGCCTTGCGTGGGCGTTGGAGGAATACTCATCGGTTAAACGGAGGGAAAGACAGTGGAGAGATTTTGGGATTGAAGTTGCTGCAATGTGTTTGTTCATTACTTCTGAAATTTTTGATTCTTTAATCTCCTTTTCTGATCTTTCCATCTGAAATAAGAAAACAGAAATTAAGTTAATGATTATGTTTCTTCATTGTTATGCTTATGAGTTTTATCTTACATACCATTTGTTTCAATATAAAAGCAAATTCCTTTGCATCATATTTGTTGCTTTTCATTTCTGTGATAAGATGTGTGAAGTTATCAGGGAGTTTTACATCTTCTTGGACTTCTACAGAGTTCACTTGATTAAGAAGATTGTAAAGTTCACTAACAATCCTCTGTTTTGAAATTTGAGCATCATTAAAATGATTAGTTTATTATATATGAAATGATGAAGAGATTAAGTGGTTGAGTTTTTAGTTTTTTACCCCTGAATCATCACCCCTCTTAAGAAGCTTTGGTCCCAAACGCCTTCCTAAACAATCTGAAGCAGTATATAATTGATTAATAAGACACTGATTTGCAGGTTTAATGAAAACAAATAATGATCTGCATTCTTTACCTAACAATAAAAGTAGGTTCAAGTTCAATGGTTCATAAATTTATAAGTTTCTCATACATAACATTTTCATTGCTGACTGAATAATGAATATCAAGATTTAGAAACAACAAAAATTACAGGTTAGCTTCTGCTTATCAAGTCACCATTGGTGCAATCAGGAAGCAATTAAACAAAAAAGAGTAATGAGAACATATGAAGATCTACAAAGCGAGCTGTGTTTCGGATTGAACAGACGTATATGCATAACATAAGATTGATACGAAAAAAGAGTAGAGCAAGTGTTGTACCAATTGAGGAGCATTTGTTGACACCTTCAAGGGTAACGATAGCAGTGAGGATGAAAACGAATGGCAACAAGAACGCGAGAATGAGGATGGTATGAAACAGAGTACGATATGAAATATGACGAGCTGCGACCTTGATCTTCATCAATTTGATAAATCCATTGCTGCTCGATATCGTTATACTTCTCATACTAGGTGAGAAGTGTAGCTGCATAATGATCCCCTAATTTTTATTTTTTCTCTATCAAAAAAGCCCTAGCACCACCGAGGACGACGAAGTCTCTCTTCGATTGATATATTCGAGGGCAAATAATAACTTCCCCCGAAAGGGTTTCATCATATTCAGAGCCAAAACCAGATTGATGAGATTCGTTGCTGTTTATACTCCGATGATTATGATTCAATCTCTTGCTGCAACACCAATGCATTGGATTGATTTCATCCAAGAAAATCGCAGAACTAGGGTTTATAAATCCAGATGAAGTTGTGTTTATCTGTAATTAAATCAGCAGATGATTCGGTGATGATTGATTAATTTCTCTTGTAATGATCAGAGATCGAATGAATTGGAAGAGAGAAGAGGCGATGTAATCTTAGCCAACGGTCGGATGATTCTGACGCATATTCAAGACGCATATTTATAATATTAGTATGTAAATACCAAAATACCAAAATTCAAGACGCATATTTATAATATTAGTATGTAAATACCATTTTTTTAACCGGTGATATATAATATATTAATAAAATTCACCCCACTAGCAAGTAGCTAGTAAATTATAAAAATTTGCGTACATAATATTTATAATATGTAAGTTATTATAGTTTTAAATTCTCGATAATCTATTTGTTTTAAAAATTATATTATATTTACAAATGCGAGTAACTGTTATTCGATTATATTGGAAAAAAACGACATAAATGTTATCTGTTGAACAAATAAACTATCCTTAAAATAAAAAAATATACAAAAATGAAATAAAATACAAAATCCAACATAATACTGCCTTTTATAACTTTTCATAATTTTAACAAGTTTAAAATATTGTATTTCAACGATAAAAAAAAAAATCAAAAATTCAAAAAAAAAAAAAAAATGTTATAATGGTCCAATCACAAAATATGTTAAAGTTGGATGGTGAAGGTCATTTTTTCATGGTAACCAGTTGAACTGACCATGGTAGCATTGACTTCTTTTAGCAAACATGATTTTTTTTTTTAAAAAACAAAAAAAATGTGGTACTTAAATATGGTACTTAAATCAGATTTGTGTCAAATTATAATGGTTTTTATGTTATTATTTTTATTGGAAATGACCAACTTTTTGGCTAATAAACAAAGGAGCAGTGAGTTTGGCGTTCCAGGTTACATTGAAATTGTATCAAAGTGTACAACGAGCAAAAACTAAGCTAGAAAGCCTAAACAATAAAAACATAAACCGAAACAAAATTCGATGGTGTGGTTTTTTATTTTGTAAAAACCGAGCAATCATGGTGCATAGTGGTTTTACATAATATACTGCACACAAAAGCACCACACCACCCCATTTAAGAAAAACGCAACTATAAAACTGCACAATATATTTTTAAATTTTTTTAAATAATATATATTTCTTATTATGTACCAAAATCTTTACACCATTGGCCCATGTTAACCAGCCATGAAATAAGCCCAAAGAATAGCATCACAGGCTCATATTGAGAGCAAAAATTAATAGTGGACCAAACCGAATAATGAAACATTTCGTTATTTGTTATATTTTTCGGCTTTTTTGGTTATAAAACCGGCCCAACAAAAAAAAAAAAGAAAAAAAAAAAAAGAACCCATACAAATTCGACAATAAATCCGAACCTAGGGTGATTGATACCAAACCGCAAGAAAAAACTAACAACAAATCATGCGGTTCTTATCCCCCAAAACATAAATTTTGCAGTTTTTGGTTTGGTTTCCGTAAAAAAAAAAAAAAAAAAACGCTGCATCGGTAGCTGTTAAACTCATTAAAACGAAAAGGCTCCTCCTAATGTTTCGTTGTGTACGTGAGAAATGTCCCTACACATGACACTCACAGACTTTGTTACTCGTATCCAGATGCATGTGGCACACCACTTGGAACCCCCCCCCCCCCCCCCCCCCCAATCATTCATCTAAATCTAAATGTCAAGTGTACACGCTACGTTTCTGAAAATTGTTGCTTTCATGGTTGTTCATCGGTTACATGTGTGTGATGTGTTTTCTAGACGATGAGATTATAGGATCAAGTGGATCAGAACAATATGTTATCATATGTTAGGTTAGAGGGTGTGGCGAGTGAGAATCTTGGTAGAAAGAGATGAGAATAGAGTAAACTGTTAGGTTAGAGGGTGTGGCGAGTAAGAATCTTGGTAGAAAGAGATGAGAATAGAGTAAACGAAAGAATCAAAGAGAGAAGAGAAGAGGAGAGAGAAAGAGAGTCTTTCCCAGATTTTATATGAGAAGAGGAAAACTTTACTCCCTTACGATACGATGGGGGCGGTTGCCACCGGCCTACCATGTTAACCGCACTCTCTTATTGCACCCACTCCATGTAGTCTTACATATTTAATTTGTGAAAATGATATCTTACATCATTTTCAAACTAATCTTTTTTAAGTTATCAGTTTTAGCACGTTCACTAGATATGTCTACTTGATAAATAAAAGTATAAAAAAGTACAATGACTACAAGTCTACAACGGCATAACTCATCAAACTCATCTTAAAAGCAAGCAAGAAAGTGACAAAAACCCTTTCTATGCAAACTGCATAAAACCCAATGCTCCTTCTGTCTTCTACCTCTTTTTCCCAAATATAGATTCCCCATCCTCCCAATGGCCTCCAACCACCACCACCAATGCCACTGCCAGCCACCCAACCCCACCCCACCGACCACCACCTGCTACTGCACCATGTGTTACACCACCACTCATTATCCTTCTCCACCGCCTCCTCCACCAGACCCACTAGCCCATTGCTATTCCTCCAACCTCCACCACCATCCTCCTCCTCAAACTAATCTCCACGCGCCACCGCAGAGCCACCACAACATCCATACCCAGCACCACGGCTACTATCCTCCGCCTCCTCCCGCTGACATCCATAAAAAACATCAGCTTTTTCAAAAGTACGTTCAACAAGAAAATGTTCAAGAAAATCCACCATCAGTTGATTCAACTGTTTCCTCCCTTATCCAACGCATCGCCGCCCTTGAATCCTCCCTTCGCCGCCGCAAACAGTCTCCGGGATCATCCTCTCTCCGTAACGCGGCTGCCCGTACTATACAAATCCACTTCAGAGCATTTCTTGTACGGAGATCCGTAACCCTACGCCATTTAAAGGATCTCGCCTGTATCAAATCAGCTCTCAATAACCTTAAAGCATCCGTTTCCAATAAAACCCACTTTGATTTTCGCCTCCTTTCTCGCGAATCCATGAACTTGCTCATCAAGCTCGATGCTATTCAGGTAATACGCAACTAATATGCATTGGAAGTGATTCGATTGGCACTTTAGTAATCTGATTAGGGTTTTCAATCTGCAGGGTAGTGATCCGATGATTAGAGATGGTAGACGATCAATTAGCCGAGAACTGATTCGATTCATGGAGTTCATTGATGAAATCTCCACAGAAAGCCGTGTAATTTCAGTCAAGAATATCCGATTCAGTAAAAATGGTAAGCAATCTGTGATCTTACAGCGGGAGCACAAAATCAGGGCTTCTGGTTCTAGAGCTTTAGGTGATGATCGTGACGAAAGAAAATCTTCTGAAAATCTGAGAACACAAATTAAAAAACCCAACAGGGTTTCTTCAGTTCCCAAGGCGGAAGAAGAAAAAGTAGAAATCTTTGAGGTCGAAAACCCTAGAAAACATGGCGTTTCCCAAAGTAGAATTGGGTGTTTGTTGAAAAATCAACCTAAAGTGAAGAAAAATGTAAGCTTTGATGAAAAAGGCAATGTTTATAGAGTAATTAACAGAAAACATAGCCCTGTTTCAAGTGGCGAGAGTGATAGCAGTAATGGCGATGATGAAGAAGTCGAAGAAATTGGAGTTTCTTCAAAAGAACCTGAAATCGAAGAAGAAGATTCTTCAGAAATGAGTGAAAATGAGATGGATCCAAGAAAGAATTTGGGAACCAGAATCCATAATACAACCAACAAGAATCAGCCTGATCAAGAAGGTGATGATGAAGAAGAAGAAGAAGAAGAAGAAGATAGTTTTGTATTTTCTGCTCCATTGCCTGCAAAAATGGAGTACCGAGTTGACTCAGCAAACAATAAGCAGACTGTAAAACGTTAGAAGGAGGCATTTTGAGTTGTGATTTTCGTGTGTAACATTTGATTGTTTCTTGGTGTTGTTGCCATTGTTGTTAGGCTGTTGTTTTCATTTTTTATTGGTGTGATTGCCATTGTTGTTAGTAGGCTACTTAGGTTATGTTTTTTTTGGTCCTAATTGATTTCTAATGTAGAATTTAGCTTCATCGATATTTTGACTTGATTCATTGTAAGTCTTGTTATATGTTTTTGAAGTTCTTGCAGGTTGAAACCATAAAGATTGGTAAGTTGTGTATAATGTGATTTGATAAGATTAATGGATTGAAGGTCTTATTTAGTAAATCTGAATCATATAAAGTTTTTCTTGATGCTTGATTGAATAGACAATGATGGTGTATGATCTAACTAGATAGAAATATTTCAATCCACCATACCTAACAAATAATAATATCTTTTGATTACCACTTATGTTTTCGATTAATGAAATCATTTTGATTACTACTTATATTTTCGATTGAATAAACCAGATTGGTATGTAAGATTAATTGTTTAGTTTATATATTTAAGATACATTCACGCAAAACAATTAAAAAGAAGCAACGAGAATACGTACTTTTAAAACAAATAATAAGCAACTATATAATAAAAACTAAAATAAGAGAAAAGCAAAAGTTGGGGTAAATTGGTCGTTTAATAGAGGAGGCTCAACAGTGATAGCCGTATGGACTATGTATGTAATTTTTGTCGACCATAGTGATCATTTATGAATAAATTTCAAACTTTGGATCTACATTGCAGAACTCTAGAAACCATATAGACAAAAGGTGTAATTTAGTCTTCTTTGTAATTTAGAACAATGGAAACCACAGGGACAAAACTATAATCTAGTCTTGTAAAATTTAAAATTTTAAAACTTGAACCTAAAATGAACATTATTGCAAAAGGGGCAAAAGTTTAATTAATCATTTCTAACAAATTAAAACCTACAAGGAGGAAAAGCGTAATTCATTCAAATTAAAAAGATATTATTAGACAAAAGTGGTATTTTAAAAAATTATAGATAGGGTTCAAAAAGTTTTTCAAACTTATATAAAAGATCCAAAATCAAGAATTTTTTGTAATTTTAGTCCTTGGTACACTTCAAAGGTTAATTTTACCATTTTCATTTCTTTTTTCCATTTTCATCATTTATTTTAGAATTCAAATAATTAAAAAAAATAATGAAAACTAAAATCCCACACCACACCCCCCCCTCTCTCTCTCTCTCTCTCTCTCTCTCTCTCTCTCTCTAATAATCCTAGCAACCACATATCATTTCATCTCTTTAACATGTTACAATGTCCAAGAAAACCAAAAACAAGTTGTAACGTCTGGTTCCTTATACACATTTAATTATAATTTATTCACTTTTGTAGAGCAACTCGACGAGTCTGGAGCCCTAAACTCGTTGAGTAGAAACCAGAATGGACGCGGGATTTTAAGTCACCTACTCGACAAGTTGAGAGCCTCAACTCAACGAGTAGGACTGCCAAAGTGAAACCCTAATTTCGGGGTTATATACCCTATTTAAGCATCTTAATCCCCTTATGCCAGCCTCATTTACAGCCTCCAAGTCCCAAAACCCTAGAGCCTTGTGTGAGCTTGTGAAACCTTTCTAAGAGAAAACTTGTGTTTTTGAAGCTTGTGGAAGAAGAGGAAGCTAGAGGACTCAAGAAGAAGAGAGTATATCAAGAAATTTCACCCCATTTGCAGTATTTTCGGGTAAGCAAGTCTCAAACTTGCTCAATGATTTCTTAGATCTCTTCATTTCACTTTTATGGGGTTTTTGTCCAAGAATGTTAGCTTTTGGGAAATGGATGACCCAAGTGGGTATTCTCCTAGATCTAGGACCTCGAGGGTATTTATGGCATAAAGGTGCAAACTTTATGCAATTGGAACCCTCATGCAAGCTCTAAGATGTGATTTTGGCCTTTTAATCCCCAAAAGGTCATGCATGGAAGTAAAGACAAAAACTTTACGTGTTCAAATGACGTTTAAGGCCTAGATCTCTGTTGGTATGCTTTAGTTTGGTGTATGGATGACTTGTGGACCAAGATCTAAGTCCTAAGGGTTTGAGATAAACCCGTCAAAGGAGGGTATTAATGTGTAAAGTTGGAACCTTTACCCTTAAAATGACATTTTTAGTGTATATGAGAAAGAAGAAACTTAGATCTGAAGAGTACGAGCTTAATCCTTTAAGATGGTCCAAACAGACCGAGGAACTCGACGAGTTGTGTCGATTTGTCCTGACTTGATACAAGGTAGAACCCGACGGGTTTGTGAAGGGACTCGACGAATTGACTCGTTCTATCACGACTATGAGTAGCCAGGGAACCTGGCGAGTCATGGGGATGACTCGACGAGTTGGATCGCAATTTTCAGGGTTTTTGATTTATAGAACTCGACGAGTTGATTCAACCCAGAACGTTGACTTTGACCAGAATGTTGACTTTGACCAGAGGTAAAATGGTTATTTTACCCTAAGAATGATTATTAGATTTTAAATAAGTGTTATTGTGATAATGATAAACGGAGAGTTGTTGGAGCAATCGTCAGAGATTCTTTACACGAGATTTTACAGTTAGCTTTGCGAGGTGAGTTTTCTCCTGTAGGAACGGGTCCAAGGCACCAAGGCTGACACGTTTATGTATGTTAGTATGTTCCGGACTAAGTTCCGTTGCCATACGGTGCCCGATGTAGGATTATATGTTTTCCGGGTTTCGATCCGATGTCGGGATGGTACCCGAAGAATGTTAGTATGCTTGATGTCTTTGTGATTCTTGCATGTGTTTGTATCTGTATGTTTCCAGACTATGGTCCGATACCGGAGCGGCCCCCGAGGAATGTTTGTATGCTTTTTGGATTTCGTTCCGATTCCAGACGAGGCTCGAGGAACGTTTATATGTCTATGATTAGGCGATTATGCTCATGTTATGTGTATTAGTGGTTATGCTCATATGTATGCTGAGCTTTGTTCGACCGGATGCAGTCTGATACTAGGCGGGGCCCAATGTAGTAGGGCGGGGCCCAATGTATGTTATATGTTTTTATGTTTATGGTATGTGGTAGTTTGGGGAAGAGTTTGGGATGATTGCATTGCACACACCACAACTTTAGCCTGGGAGTATTTGCTCTGATATTATACATGTGGATTTTGATACATATTCTAATATGATGTTTTGAGATACTATCGCTTATGTTTTTAGAGATGTTTTTGGGTTATCATGAGTAGGTTATCTCATCTCGTGCGGCTTCAGCTACCGCGATGAGTAGGCTATTACTCGTCCTCTCTGCATGAGGACCTCTCCCAGTCCTATGATGGATGCATCATAGTACACTACAAAATGCTCAAATCCCTCCGGGAGAGTCAAGACTGGAGCCTCGCAAAGTCGATGTCTGAGGGTCTCAAATGCCCTTTATTGCTTAGGGCGTCATCGGAAATCCAATCCCTTCCTCACCAGACGAGTGACGGGTACTACAATCTTGGAGAAATCTTGTATGAATCTCCAATAGTAACCTGCCAATCCCAAAATCTCCTGATATCCGAGGGAGATTTTGGAACCTCCCACTGCATATTCACCTCGATTTTGGCCGGATGGACCAAAATCCTCTCCTAGTTAACGAGGTGTCCAAGGAACTAAACCTCTCGTAACCGAAACTCGTACTTCAAGAACTTGGAATATTGCCGTTGTCACCAAAACTCCCAAAAGCTCCCGAGGATGCTCCTCATGCTGCTCTCGGGTCTTGGAGTACACCAAGATATCGTATATGAATATGACGACCGAGCGATTAAGCATCGGTCTGCAGACCTGATTCATCAGGTCCATAAATACTAAATTGGTGAGCATAAACGACATCACCACGAACTCGTAATGTCCATAATGAGTCCAGAACACGGTCTTCTCCAGGTCCTCCTCTCTAACCCTGACCTGATGGTACCCAGACCTTAGGTCTATCTTGTAGAACCAAGATGCTCCATGCAACTGATCAAAAAGATCATTTGTCCACAAAAGTGGATAACGTTTGTTCACTGTCAACTTATTCAACTCCCGGTAGTCACTGTACATCCGCTATGAACTATCCTTCTTCCTGACGAAGAGGATCGGCGCTCCCCACGGAGAACTGCTCAGACGAACAAACTGTTTACCCAACAGTTCCTGCACCTGTGATGACAACTCCTGCATCTCTGGTGGTGCCAAACGGCACATAGCCTTAGCGATAAGGGCATCACAGGCACTAGGTCAATCGTAAACTCGACCTGCCTTTTCGGAGGCATTCCTGGTAACTCCTCCGGAAACACGTCAGCAAACTCCCTGACTACCAGAACCTCTGAAACTAAAATCTAATCCCTGACCCGCATATCCATCACATACGATAGATAGCCCGTACACCCGTGCTGAATATACTGCCGAGCCCTAACAACTGAACAAAACCATGATCCCAATCTGGTCCCCTTGCTATAGACAATCAATTCTCCCCCACCTAGGGTTCGAACTACCACTCGCTGACCCTCGCAGTCGATCATGGCATCGAAGCGACTAAGCCAGTCCATACCTATAATCACACACACATCCACCATGGTAATTAGAAACAAGTCTATTGGGAAAGACACCCTGAAGATCTCCAACACACATCCCCGATAAACTGAAGAAACGGAAACCCCGTGTTCGTTAACGACAGAGGCTCGCAATGGACATTCTAGCTCTCCTACTGGCAACCCGAACTCCCTACTAATTGCCTGAGAGACAAATGACCGACTCACTTCTTAGTCAAATAATACCAAAGTAGGTAAGGAGTTCACTAAAAACACACCTAATCACAGGTACAAACATATAAGCATAAAACAAATATAATCAATAAGATAAGGGATAGAAACATACCACCAACCACGTCTGGTGTTGCCTTGGCCTCTTCTGCGGTAAGCTTGAAGTCGCGTCCCTGGGCCCTCGGGGGCACTACTCTACCCTGACTCCAGCCAGTAATCCT